GTTTCAAATATACATATATTTATCCAATTCTAAAGTAAAATATCCCTAACACCTTTTCACATACACTCTTGCCATCGGCTACACTGTACCAGAAGTGAGATGCTTACAACAGTACATAGAGAAATAGACTAAACATTTCCTGGAAAACATTATGACCTTCATGACGTCACTAAACTCCCTTTATATATATATATATATATCACTCATTCGATTACACGACTATTCCCAGTTTGCCCCAAAGAAGAAAGGTCCACCTTTTGAAAGCGCTCTGGTTGTACGGTTTCTATTCATTAATTTGACCCAAATATTTTTGTCAAGTTTTGGATATTTTTCATCTTACATGGGTAAGAATAGAGAATATGTACTTTTACTCATCACTCATTTCTTTCTTCAAATTATTAAGCTGAAATAATTACAGAAGAAAAAAATTCTAAATCTAAAATACCTTAAAAAATGTGGAAAATAAAACAAACATATTTCTAGTTATGCTTATGAAAACAAGAAGTAATGACATACACAAATACTTAAAACTATTTCTCATTATAAATCTGATTTAATAATAACAGAAGAAGAAGAATTAAAAAAGAAAAAAGTTGTTAAATTGGTTTTTATACTGAGAAAAAATTTAATGCTTTAAACAGAGCCCTCCTTTTACTCACTTTATCCCCTGATCTAGGCTGGTTCTGACTGTCACAATCCTTTAGTTGGTAATGAATTATTTCTTTTTCACCATTTTTGTAAAAGGAAATGATGCCATTAGTACAGCTTGGCACAGAATCCCCTTTACTTGGACTCTTTGAAGACCATTGATTGGAAGGTGTCTTTTCCACAATTCCAATGCTTTGTCCAGTCCCTGAATTTCCCTCTAAAGAGTTTAAACAAACAGTTCCAGAGGGAAGTTGTTTAATTCTGATGGCATGTGAACGGCCTGATGAAACAGGGTCCTATCATAACCCAAAAACAGCAATTAAAAACAAAGTAAATAAAGCCTCTTAAAATGTTTACCATCCTTTAGTTGTTTTTGTATTAGTTGCACATATATCAACAAAATCAATGTATCTTCACTCAAGATAAAGCTTATTTAAATTTCACTCAAATGTGTTAAAGCATTTGATTTGTCAACAATGTGGCTACTGTAATGGAGTGTAAATCATATCCTGAAATGGGTAATTATATGGTTTTTCAGTAGTGTATACATAGCTTCACTCAGTTCTTACACAATCAAACTAGTAAAACCTTAACGGAAAAAAGCATGCATATGAAGCACAATTGGTGGAATACTAGACAAAGTTTTTACTCTTTTTGAAAAGAATTTCTCAGTTACTGAATTCAATACTTAAAATGAGACCTAGAGAGTTTAAAGTACTTTGGAATCAAGTAAATGTTCTTTTATGGTTGGCTGAAAATTCAAATCTGGATAACATGAAAATAACTAACTTCCTATTTTTATGGTAATTTATCACATTTCAAATTCTAACAGGACTTGCTTTAATAATCATTATCTTACTGTAAAGTACCTTAATATTTCCTAATGGTATGGTATTTTTCTCTTATATGAATGTGCACGAGTCTCTTGAAAGTACTGCACCAATATCCATTCCAGGTTATAATTACATCCCATAATATTAGCCATGACCAAATATGTTTTTACCTTGGTTACGGTGAACTCTACTTCATCCTGAACTTGGACTGGATTGTCTGGATTCAAAAGTTCAGAAAATCGGAAATAAACACAAGAATCCCTGTTGGCACACTTGATAAATCCAAAAGACTCTTTCAGGTTTGATATGATTCCCTATAATAAAGAAGGGATTAAAACTATCAATTATCAGAATTGTAAATATAAAAGTTTGAATTTTGCATGAAGTTAACTTATCATTATGCATAAAATAAACTTCCCAAATTACATCTAATATTATAATATTTTTAATTACAACTGCTAAAAGTTGTGTCATTAAGGAACAATATTTTCAAGTTCTTTCTTCCTTAGCTGTCAACAGAAACATATTATGTTATATTCAACTGCCAACAATTAAAAAGTCTGAATTTTGCAAAAATAATAATAAATTTTAAAATGTCCTCATAATGTAAAAAAAAGAGTAATAATTTTACTATAATTTGATTAATCCTGAGAAGATCTACTAAAATTACAAACATTCTTTCAGCAGTATACTACTTATGGTGAACTACCAACAATCACAATTAGCTTGAAACAAAGTTTAGTTCTTAGATCCTCTTGCCATAACTTAAATACTGAATTTTAGCCATACTATCACACATTGGTTTTTAACCCCTATTAGCTTAAGTTATTATATATAGTTAATATTAATTATATTACAGTTCCACGCATATATATATATATATATATATATATATATAGTATGACATTATGTAATTAGTTTAGTTACATTAGCGCTTGATGATTACTTTCTTTGCTATATTAACAACTGTTGTAGCTTTTCTTTCTTTGTGTTATTATTTTAATGAACTTTCTACATTCTATGGGCTTATCACATTTCTTTTTTGGCATTTACCATAAATTTAATATTACCTATTACTTCATGTAGCCAGCTGTATGTTAGAGTTATAATAGTAAAATTTTTAGATACACCAAATATTATATTTGCATGTTGTTTTCTTTGTATTATATTTAATATTATTACATTTCCATTGGCATTTCAGCTATAATTTTAATTTTGTATTTATTACTTTGTATCTTCACAAACAGTTTTTGGTTGTAGTATGAGAAAATTACTGGTATGAATTTGACACAGTTCAAACAGTAATGTGTCTAATACAGATTTCACTCTCCTTCTAACACTAGAAAGTATGGGAGGTTTATAAAATCAAAAAACAGGCTAGAAGAAAATATTAAAAAACAAACAAAAGAAAACATGCATGTTATATTAAGTTCACATTTTCCAACCAAAGTTATTCTGCGACAATAGTTCAAACTGACAGCTTTCTTAAGTAAAATATTTATTTATTTTTACTTTTATTTACAGTATTGGTTATACTATTTAGTATATTGAACATCATTTTTATTTTTATTTATTGTTTTCCATTGAACTTTTATCATAAAGATAGCTTTGTATCACAGGCTAAATATATGCATTTAGGACTAATCTATGTCACCTAAGCTGACTGAACCTCACAAGATATTATTTAGATTATGACCAAAAATATCATTAACATCGAGGGTACTTAACTGATGAAACAATGAATTCTAATCTTTATAAGTAAAAACAAAGTTTATTTAAAACATACAAGAATTTTCCATAGATATTTCTCATTCTTCTAACCTTCAAAGAAAACAGTTTTACAGTGATTAAGAATTTATTTGATGGTATTATATTCTGATAAGCAACTCACTTGTTCTCTCTGTTCACCTGAAACTAGGAAACTCTCATCAAGAATTTCAATATTGGTGGCACGTTGAAGATTGTCTCGTCGATCAGTAGCAACTTTGAAACGAACCCAGTCACCTCTTTGTAAGGTGAAATCCCCTAGTGGGTCTTTATCACCAAAAGGAAGATCCACATCACTGACAGGAACAACAATTATTTTTTAGACAAATAATGTAAGAAATGGGTTTGTAGATAATGAAGATTTGCTCTTATTTTTGCCATAAAGAAATATAGACGTAAAAAATATCATCGGGCATTCTACTTTAACAAAACCCATTATCTAAAATAAGCAATCACCAACAGTACTTCAAAATCTTAATTGGTGTCAGCAAACTATTCAGCATACAATTCTGGCAGGCTAATGTGTTTTCTAACTGTACAAAAGACTATTTCATCAGAAACATTGTTAAATTCTTAAAGTGTCTTGAAAATCAGTTATAAATAAGCCAGGATATATAAGTAATAAATATTAAATAATGCAGTTTAACTATAAAATTGTTGCAAAGATACATGTTGATAAAATTAACATTTTCAAGTTTGTTCTCTAATAATAGTATCTAGTTTCATTCATTAAATGTCATTTTACTGATTAATAACTTAGGCAATATATTATAGTATTCAAGCTGTTTTAACTAGTCTGGAAATTTGATAATAGTTTTTTTTTTGGAATTTTTCAATTTATGATAGGAATTTGCAATAAGTGTAATTAAATAAAACAAGAAAATTAACTTAAGTATTTTATTAAAGATGAAAAGATCTTTATTTACACATTATAAAAAGGCTGAAGTAATCTTTAAAGAAACAAGTGAGGCATGTTTACTTATACAGGTTAGAGAAAAAAAAAGGAATTCGTTAAAATTATAACACTGAATACATGCTAAAGCCAGGAAACAGAGCAATGAACCAAAAAATGTGAAGGTTAGATACTATAAAAAAAAGAAGAAAATGTACAAGAACTGTGACAAAATTCTGTTTTTATAATGTGACACATAAATAAACAAACAACCACAGTTCAGTTGCAAGCTGAATAATGTTCTGCCTGATGCTGCTAACTGAAACCATACTATCATGTCAATTTTCATTGATGAAATGTAAAAAATTGGTTAGATATAATTAATAAAATAGGTGGGATGTACGAAGTCTTGATGATCATAAATCAATATACAAATGCCAATAAACATGCAAAAGAAAGTATCATTCACCAGAATTGTCCTTGACAGTAATGGCCTACTGGTGATACAATTCTGTGAGAAAGCAACTAAATCCTTTAGGGAAAAAAGTCCAGCCCTTATAAGAAAAAATCTTATGAAAGCTAAACAGTTCAATCCCACTCACACCCATGCACGAGATGGTAACTAAGACAATATAAAAGCTAGATTAAAAAATAATCAGTTCATAAAGATAGCCCTAGTCAGTCCTCAAGTAAGTCAGAATTAGAAGTCTCAGCCCACACAAGTCCTGATAGAAACATAAGAAATAGAAAAAGTCTCAACTTAAGTAAGTTTCTTATTTTTGAATAGTAATATAAGAACAAAGTTACTAAATAACCTTTTAACCCTTTCCATAGAGATCACGGGTGAAAGGCAATATCATCACATTTGTTGACTCACATTAAAAATTTTATTGAACTACTATTTCATGAATTTTTGTCAATGTTTGGTATCAAACTGTAGAATATAATTTAAATTTTATTTTATACATTATTCAATTTCTTAATTTAAAAGTAAATATTAAAAAAACTGTTAAACTTAGATGTTTGTGATGTCTGTAGTTTCATACGCATTAAGAACTCAAATAACCCATATTGACAAGCTAGAATATGAAATAAGAACCTCTTATCTTTTCTATTTGCTAAGATATTTCTCATGTAATAAATTAAACACAGTGGCACTTCAACCACCTCTTCCCATTTTTGGAAACACTCCCTTTTATACACTTACTTCTGTATATGACATGAATAACCAATCGAAAGCTCAGAATGTTCCCCTAGTGGCTTTCTCAGTCATTTTAATGTGTTTGGATGCCATCTCTTTCTTTCAAACCAAGATTTCAAAGAGGTAGGTTGTCTTTAGTCTGCTTGAAATTTCAAATTTTTTTAGACTGAAATACAGCTGAGTTACTAAATTTGATAAATTATCATGGAATTCTATGGTATTGATGTAGTAATTTATGGTTTTTGGTTATTCAATTGTATATATAAAACCTAAAAAAAATTATTTCTTTTGATATCATCCACGTGCCAAATTTAAAAAAGGCTTAACAACCTATGTCAAGCAGCAACCATGTACAAAGGTCGTAACTAGAAGAGATAATTGTT